AGATGATCTGTTTGATAAGGTCATCAAGATGTCTTTGCATAATCAAGATACCAAAAGACAGAGAATTTCTCCTTGCATAGAGAGAGAAAGGATGACGGGTCTGTATGGGCTCAGTAGACACTGTACTTACTATGAAGGAGTCAAGAGCAAAGAAAAGAAAAATTATGAATTAAGGAGATAGCAACAAGCAGAACAAGAAAAGAAAAGACTGAATGAGAGAGTTGACTGGAGCGATGATACTGATGACAGTAATGATACAGATGACAATTTTGCAGAGAGAGAAACAAAATGATACAAGAACCATCTTCTTCTCAGCCTAAAAAGAAGGCAAGAAAAAGTATCATAGACCCCAAAGTTGGCTGCTACTGTGGACAGAACCAAGCTGTAAGACAGAAAAGCAACATTCATGCTTACTGCCACTGCCAAGAGCCTTGGTCATGACATTCAGGATTTGACAATTAATCGTTCAGTTCCAAAAATCTGAAGCAAACTGTTAAAATCAATTACCACCCTAGTTGTTCATTGGGATGGAAAACTTCTCAGCAATCTCACTGTAAAAGAACAAGTAGATTGCTTGCCAGTTATCGTGTCTGGATTAGAAATCAATCAACTCCTGGGAGTACCAGGCTACTAGAAGACTGGGGAGTACAGAATCTCATTAAGGCAGTATGTTTTGATACAAAAGCCACACATACTAGTAAAAAAAAAGGCACATGTGCATTACTTGAAGCACAATTGGACAGAAATCTACTATATTTCGCATGTCGACATCACACACTTGAACTAGTTCTTTCATGTGTGTTAAATTCCTGTATGGAACCAACCACAGGACCATATGTTGCAATCTTCAATCAGTTCCAGCAGCACTGGGAATTCACCGATCGTTCCAATTTTTTTTTTGGTGGTCACGAAGTTGGCTAAATAGCTTAAATCCCATAACAGTATACATCTATTTATACTTGAATATTGTTTTATTGCAATTTGTACTGTGTCTAAACTAATATTCCCACCATAAATTTTGTAACTCAATTGGTGAACATGGAGCTCATGTTACCCTATCAAATTACATAATGCATGGGCTACTCACACATTGCTCACAAACATACCCCTTGAAAAGTTTTTGGTATTATTATTCTATATTTTACATAGACAAACCTGAAAAGTTTCTATTTTTACATTTTTAGTTACTTTTATTATAAGAAATAAACAATACACATGAAAAATAAGAAATAAAGTATGTAATTACCTGGGTCTCTTTTTTTTTGCTGTGGACTGTCAATGACACTTAATCCTACTTTTTTAAAACTAATGGTACTACTGCACCAAAATCTTGGCTTTCTATTGGTTATAAATAATATAGTATTAAACATCAGAGAAGGTGTGGCAAGAGGGGTCTTATTTTCTATTTTATGGGTCTATAACCAAATTATGCTTTCCCTGAGCAATGATAACATTATAATAAGTAACTTATGTTGAATTTCATACTACTTGGAGAGGTGATAAATAAATTAGAGAAGACCGGATACTTAGAGAGAAAATGTCACAATTCTCACAATAAGGAAAATTGTAGAGACCTGTGTCTCTAGCACTTGGCTATTGTTTCTCACCTTATACATATTAGTTTAATACAGTTAAACTGTATTTAGGTTTTACTTTTATATTTTAGTTAATTATGTATTATTTGTGTTTTAAAATTCATATTTGAAAGGTTTAATTCTGTGTAAGTTTACCCGTCATCTCTTTGCTCATGAATGCTTATAAAAATAGTCGTGTGCAAACCATTTTCCCTGTGGCTAATGCATCTCTTATACAATACCTTACCTCCACTCACATAATAGCTAGAATCCCACAATGAAATGATGGAGAGACCAATGCAAATGTTACCTACATGAGCACTCTTCGGAAGTAGTGTGTCACCCTAATGTATAGGGTCACACTCATGGGAGACCACACCCCCCACCTGTATCAGGTATACTCTTCATCTGTTGTCAAGATACATGCTGATAAATTGGGCAAAAAAGATGCACATCCAACCTGTAATTGGGTGTACCAGATGATGTAGAGTGGCTAGGATGCATCAGACTGCATTCGGTGGTTCAACTCCAGTCGAAAATCAGGCAAGGCTTTCAAGAGAAAGTGAATAGCCTCAGAAAGGTGGTGAATGGATAAGAGATAATAAAGGATGGTACTGAGGGTGAGACAGAGACGAGAGAACAAGGCTGGGGAAAAATGCAGTCTAGTAGAAAGATCGGAGCCCCATGCCTGAATCACAGACTCTAAGGTCTAAGAATCCAAAAGCAGGATTTCCTACCTATGATATGACAAAGCAAGGGAGTCACCTAAATGTGGGAGCTGAGGCATACTGGCGCTTGAATGTAATTAGGTAAAAAACTGTTCAGGATAGACTCAAACATCAGGTGAGAGGGAAAAACCAAATAATCTGACATTGGGGCAGAATGAAGAATCTCGGGGGAGGAATCATAGGATACACAGAAAGAGACAAGATGTAACATACCTGAGAAACCAAGTCCAAAAATGCAGACAGAGAGAGGGGTAGAATGAAAAGGCATAGCAAAGGCAGGAGGTGGAAAAAGGCTGTCCAATCATAGGATACACAGAAAGAGACAAGATGTAACATACCTGAGAAACCAAGTCCAAAAATGCAGACAGAGAGAGGGGTAGAATGAAAAGGCATAAGCAAAGGCAGGAGGTGGAAAAAGGCTGTCCAAATCCTCCTCTTAAGGAACAGATTCTCCAAAAAAATTGAGATCTGACTGCAGTTCTGGAGATGTAGCTGACTGCATGACAGATTTTAACTTGCAACACACCAAGGCCAAGACTTCCTCTGCTGAAAGATGCTGAATCCAAAGCAACAGAAATAGTAATTGTTGTTGGATCAGTGGTGGCAGGATCCATAACAGAAGCCATTATAGGAATATTAAATTGAGAGTTTATTCTATGGAGAAGAAAAGAAATTTTCTACCAAAACATTTTTAGCAAAAAAAAAATGACAAACTAAAGTTGTCAACACAGTAGTATTCAGTGAAACTGCACATGGAGCAAAAAATCAAGTATACTGCACACTGGAATGCCAAATAAAGAAGTGATGAGAGTGCTATACAGCAGTGGTTCTCAACATAGGCCATATGGCCCCTCGGGGGGATGGGGGCACACCATGTTTCTAAGGGGCCACATGTGAATGATGGAAAATTAGTGGGCCACAGTAAATTATGAGTGGGCCACAGAAATTTCACTGCCTGAATAAAATATTTCAACAGCCCAAGCTATATTCAAACATGACAAACATTATTTCTGAATAAGTAGTGAAATAGCTAATAAGTTTCCACAGCTCTGGGAGAAGGTAAAGTTGTATTTTATCACTTTTCCCATATCTTATCTGGTTGAATCTAGTTTTAGTCGGGTGACTTATTTGCTATTAAAAATACCTAACTGCTTTGATTTGTGAGGAGAGGTGATCTTTGCTTATCACTGACCACAATGCCACTGGACATTCAAAAACTTTCAAGTGTTCATCAGGCCCAAGGATCACACTGCATAAAATGTCAATGATTAACAGAATATTTTTTACTTGTATAAGAGAGTAGTATGTTATAAACAAAATATTTTAAAACACTACAATATTATATAAACAGTAAATTATAAATCAACAGTGTGGAAATAAAGTAACTTTTTTCTTAAGTAACAGCATCTACGAAGGGTGGGGCCACAGAGATAAATCAAACTCAAAAGGGAGCCACGAGAAACACTGCTCTACAGTATAGAGAGAGTCAGCTTTACTGCAAAGGTATGCCACATTCCTATTAGTGAAAGGTTGTCATATTCTCATTTGCACGCAACAGCACAGCTATACCACAAGAAATCACATGATGATAGGTGGGAGCATCAAAGCTAGTGGCTAACAAAATTGTGCAAATAGAGGGCAGCAAAAGAGGAGAAAAGTTATTATGTGAGAAGAGGTTTCACATCAAAAATCCAGGCATATCTCTGTCTTTTATCATTATTCCCCCAGACATTCCTAATCTTATGCAAATATTTTTCACAATATTTCCACATAGTAATATTTATTCACTTTTTCAGTTTTTTCTATTCAGCCATAAATAAATAATTTGTCAATTCATGTGGATTGATGTGCACATGCATAAGTAACCATTATCAATTCTAGGAATTAAAATACATTGTTAGATTGTTGAATGTTGACTTAAATACTAAAACCTTCTATACCATTAAAATTTGTGTACTTGAGAATAACCACAACAGTGACTGAGACATCATACCTGTTTTAAAATATTCTTGCTTACTGTAAAAGCTATAACTTATAATAAAACAATACTTATAATCAGTAAATAAATTCAAAACAAAAGATATTATGTTTGTTTGTTGTTAAACACAAAGCTATACAATGGGCTGTGTTGTGCCTGTCAAGAATATTAAAAAAGGATTTTTAGAATGATATGCCATCAGACTTACCACTGGAGCCATTGGGGGAACAATGTTAACGAAAGGCTGATGGGATACTGTAATACTAAAAATTAAAATGTGGTTTGTAAAAATTGCATATATAATTGTACCTGTCCCTCCTGCTTTAAAAATTGGGAACCACTGGTCAAGTAGATGAATAAACACAGTCTGATAAGAATGAGTAGGTAGATATGTTCAAAGGAAACCAGCACATTTTTTTAACTGGCAAACATTTTGTAGATCCAGTTGGTGAATTAATAAAAAAGAAAGTTACATCCCCTGAAATGAGAGACTTCAAATGGTAACATTATTTTCAGATGTGGCCTGTTATGTTTCCTGTTCCATTTAAAGTAGAAGAGTCATTAAATTCATAAGTAAGCTGAAAATCTTATAAATGTTCAGTTCTTATAGTAAAACTATTAGGAGTCAGTGTATCAGCAAAACCTACATTATTATTACTTTCAATTTTTAATTGTTCTTCCAATTTTCTATGTTTTCAAATGAAAATGTGTAAGATGTACTTATGTTTTTGTTGTTCTTCTTGAATAAATTTCTTTAGTTCCTCTATCCGTTCAATGGTCAGTTTTCTAATGATTACATCCCCTGGTGTTTCTATGTCTCCTTTTTCTCCACGTTTTCTCCTGAAATTAAAAATATTAACATTACGAGGAGTTATTTTGAGATTTTTCTCTTAACAGAATTAAATATTTTATCCAAAAAATTACGCAAAAAGACTAAAAATTTCAAATAATCATTAACCAAGCCTTCTACCCATTTTGTTTTCCATTCAAATACAACTGTCTGACTAAAATGATTAAAATAAATTACTGGACCTCAAAAACTTGCAGAATAAAAAACATTCATAATGAATATCAGCCATACAAAACGAAAATTATAACTGCATTTATTTTCAACAATAATAAAAATTGAGATTAGAAATATTGGTATGTTTTTTTACTTTATCAATAATTATCATATTGTGTGGAGATTGGTAAAAGAATTTCTAACCAGTCACTGTGATTGGCACTGGATTTTCCTAATGGAAAGGTTGATAATGTGTAAGCATTTTGATTTCTTAAGTTGGATGTTCATGTGTATATCTATTTATACAAACAATGAATTTTTTCTAATGTATACAGATACTATAATTTTCCAATTACAAACTGTAGTTTATACATGAATTTTGTCTCCAAAACCATAAACTGCAGTTTATGGTTGAATTTGACACTGCACCACAAGAGTATGGCCATGTGACAATGTGAGAATATACAGATATCTGCATTACTTAAAAAATTTAAGATCTACAAATATATTTTGTTCAATTCATAACTGTTTCATTTAAAAAATATTTACTAAATCAAGCACTGAGACAAACATATCTGCTATAAAAATATTTTGACTTACTTTGGAGTTTCCACATTCTCCAACAAGTCAGAGTACTGTAGTGCACAGTTCTATAAGAAGAATGAAAAAAACTATGTAAAAACACAAAATAATGATTTCACCCACATATAAAATAGGGTGGTCCTTTTTTTGCAACTTCTTATTTTCTATACTCTCACCCTACTATAACTAAATTGAATGTTTGGGCAAAATTTCAAGTACATTTATCAAAATTTAGAGATTTCTCAATAACTGCATATTTGCTTAATATACTTTAAGTTCATTGTTCATTATTTGCTCACACAAAACCTGCAATGTAAGATATAATACTTATATGGTTAAAAATTAGTCATATACACAGTAATATGACTGTATGACTGAGTATGTTGTGAATTGTTTTATGTAGTGGATCTAGTATTGTCTGATACATTGTAATTTACAAATAAAACTGAAGGCTTGTCACAGATATCCACAAATTGTTAACATGTAAATAATTATTTAAGGTAAAATATGTATATAAACTGTTAACGATTTTGTATTGTATCTTAATACAATCTAGAATTTTCCAGAACGTTCTTTAAAGATCTATAATATTCTTTGCTATTCTCTAATTTTCTAGAATGTTCCATTTAGTTCCACAATATTCTTTTTTGTTCTGTAGCATTCCATGATATTCTGTAATATTGTAGAATGATTTTATTCTAGAAAGTCCTGTGAACAAATATATACATAAGGAGTTGACACTTGAGCAGATTAGATTCAATAGAATTTGTGAAAACAAAATCAGATATAAATTGTGAGTTGTACTATAGGTAAATAAAGCCTGAAAAACCTGATAAAATTATTTTACCTGCAATCATTTTTTGATGAAAAGGGCAATGGCAGCAGCAACTAGAAGCAAGGC